AGGATCCGTCCGGTCGAGATAACTCGTCTTTTCAGGGAGCAATTGCCAGCCCCCGGTTGTCAACCCCTGTTTACCTCTCCGAGAGTAGGAACCCTTAGTCTATCCGAATGGAAGCTTCGGGATGCAACCTGTTCTATTCAACTTGTTGCACTCGAAAGACGACTGACGGCCATCGCTTCATTTCATAAGGTGAAACCCTGAAGTCTGGTATATACTAATTCACTGATACGTGAAATACGATAGGGTTGTTCATTTATGCATGAATTGAGTCGCTGGAATGATTAGAATACAGGTTTTAATCGATTGTTACCTGTGAGTTTTAGTAGGGATTTACCGTGATTGTTTCAATTGTAGATTGTAGATAATTAAGGACTACAAACGGTAATTTGAAATCGAATCGACGGCTATATATTAATTGCAATTAGCAGACTGCGAATTAGAGGGAATAAAATGTTCCTGGTGTAATTTAGAAGCAACGAAGAACCGGAAGTCCTCGAATAACTAGGAGGAATACTATTTGTTCCATTAAAATCGACAAAAATCAGGAAATATCAGGAAGTCGACTTAACCGCGGCTTCCGAGGGACTCGGTCGTCGTTAAAATAATTTCAACGATCATCGTCCGTGTCGTAAGGAAATCTTGAATATTTCCAGTGAAAAACTTTCGTATGCGAAGAGTTCGGTCATTGTGGTCTATAGAAATCGAGCATTTCCGCAGGATAAGATGGAAAAACCGAGTGGAAACGTGCGTGTCCCGATGAACAGTACCCTCGCGAAGCGAATACTCGCTTGATTTTCGACAAAGAATCCAACAGCCATCAGCGAGGCGTCGTTCAATAGCCCCTAATGGCTACCGCGAGACGTTCAGCCGCAGGCGATATCCTTCTCATTGTCCTCTTCTTATTTACTTCCCTTTCTGTGCGTCATTATCCTTTTCCGTTCGCCAACCGGCTCTTCCTTCCGTTGTTCTTTTTCCTCGTTTCCCGGAGAACCTGTCCGCACGCTCGGATTCTCCCCGAGAAGAAGAGCCACGGTCTCGTTCCCGTATGCATTCCCATGCGCGACATCCTCTCCCATTTTCCTCTCTGTCTCTCTGTCCCGCCGAGGCTGCGTCTCGCTCTCCTTATTCGGCGATGTCGGCAGGAACGCGCGATTCTCCCAGCGAACGCACGCGTTCACGCTTTGTCCCGCGTGCAACGGGCAGTGAGTCGCCGTTGGACAACGGATTTCGTGCGTTTATGACGAATGCGACTGCGTGGGCTAGAGGAATGTCCATCGATATTTAGCTACCCTTGCACGGATTCGAGGTTATCTTCACTGTAATAAATCGTTCTCATGTGTACAATTCTGCACGATTTTGAATAACAAGCAACCCAAGCTGTAGAACCTTAATCACAACGGTCTCAATGATTTACCAATGCGTTTCGACTTGTATCAATTTTTCTTTTCACTCGTCTGCGCACGCACCGTCGGTTAACTTCATCTCTTCAAAATGCGTTCAAAACATATCCCATCGCGTATAGAAAGCCAAGCGAAGAGCGAACAGAAATCAACCTCGATTTCCTCGATTCTGAAATTCGTGTTTCGCATAACGACGAGGTGATTACCGTTGTTTTTCCACGCGGCTGCGTGAATCCGCCGCTTTGTCGATGATTAATCGTTCTTCGGCGAGGCCTTCACGGTCCGCCCGCCTCGAAAGAAATTTCGTCCGCGAGACTATCAGGAAACTCACGCGCTTTCCGCCATTGTTCGGCCACCGTGATCGTCCGACCGCCGCCGTAGGAATATTCTGCCGCGGCGTACGTTGAATGCATGAATTCAGCGAACGATCAAAGTAAACGAAGGGATCAACGATCCGCCGTCTCTCCGTACGCGGCCGCAGGAAATCCGCGCGCGGGCGAACGCGCGCCGGTCTCAGCCGGCTACTCGAGTATCCGGGGCGTTAGGGGATTGGGGAAAAGGGGGGAAAAAATGGGAGCAACGAAGGAACGAGGAGAAAAATGTTTGCTTGGGCGTGTCCGGTCGCGTTAAAACGGGAGTCGCCGTGTGTTTCGCAAACACCGCCGATATAATTACGTAAGTGGAATTGATTACTGTAATTGTTCGAGGTTCCGGCCCGCCCGGAAGCTTTACTTAGAACCCCGGCACTCGGTTTTCAGAAGGTTCCCGCGTCCCGCGGTCTACTTTTCCCTCGGCGCTGGTTGTTTATGCAAATCGAGCGCGGAGGCTTGTTCCTAAGCGATTGGCCCGTTCTTTTTATTTGTCCGCCGGTTGACTCGGGCGCGCGGCGAGCCTCTCCGAGCGCCGCGCGACCAAATATCGCGTGAGGAAAGTGCTGTTTTTATTGCGCATAGCTTTGTAAATTGAAAGTTCAGGTATACTCGTTTGTTCAAGTGGGAATTAGTAGGCTTGCTCTTGGCTACCGCGCTAGAACATTGATTGTGTCTGTCGCGATACTCGTTTAACACTGGAACTGCTATTAACCCTTTGCACTCCGGAGGCGCCTCTCAGTCGCCAGTCGATTTGACGCAGCGAAATTGTAAAGCTTCCTATTTAATGTCGAACTTCGTACGATACATATTGAAATATTGCGATGAGATGGATTTGCTTCTCAATTTATGCGCGATTTCTGGTCGAGTTGGTTTTAAACGACGACTGTATATCTCATTAACAAGTGTTCGGTGCTTCCAGTGAAACACAACTAAAGCTAGTCGTTTTGGCTGCCACTGTAGTTGCAGTGTTAATGAAATATGAGGTGGACGTTGATTTTTGACGAATTCCATCGTCGTTCTTGCAGCCCTTTTCTCGTCGCAGTGGACTCGTTCTACCTGTGCGTATAAATGCAGAACATGTTCCCAGTGTTACTCACAGACCGATAATCTCCCCAGAGATCGCTATAAATCGGCGTCGATAAATCGATTCAATTTATTCGCCGCGTCTGGTTTATATATTGTAGCGCCGTGTATCACCTTCTTATGCAAATCGGGCAATCTGCGATTTCATAGTGTCCGGCCTTAATACACGCCTGCTTAATTACACCGTAAAAGACGAACGCTGAGCCTCGCTCGCGGAACAGACGATTTATGAACACCGATCGCATTATAATCGTGTATCCATTAGCATTCTTTCTAATTCCTACGAGCCGCCTATGTAAATTTCGTCTCCGACGCAGCTACAGGGTGTTCCGAGCCACTACCGGCAAGCTTTCCTCGTCGTTCGGCGAGCCATCCTAACGTTAACGCTACCGAACACGTCGATTCAACGTACATTGAATTTATACACAACACTCGATAAACGTTTACATCGATTTCTACTGAATCGAGTCGCTCGGAAGCCAGCGCGATTAAGTCCAGGAAGCAAAAACTGGGAAAATTAATGTTTCATCTTCTGAAACGATTATACAACATACTCGGAAGCTCTAAAAACAAGTGCTCCCTGACCTTTAGAAAACGAAGAACCGAGTAAATCCTCGAACAACTAGAGAGAATATTATTCACTCCACCGAAATTGAGAAAAATCAGAAAATATCGAAAGGACTTAACCGCATTGACTTCTAAGCACCTCGATCGTCCATCTTTCCACGAAAAATAGAATCCATAAACCTACTGTTAACCGAACAAACGTATTCCACGCGCTGTACACTTGTTAAATTCGCGCAGGCGCACGTACGAAAGTGAAACGATAAAAATTTATCGAAAGATAGCGTGTCCACGTGCAAAATAACGAGCCGACCGGGCGTCCCGCGCGGATCACAGACTGACCTCTCGATTTTAATGAAGATTGGACGCGATCGTTGCGCAATGAGTCGCCCAGAAGCCCGCGTTTCCCATTCGCTCGGACTGTGGGACTCCCCGTGGGTCGCGGACCGTTGCATGGCGAAAACCGGCGATGGGAAATTCGCTGGTAACGGTGCGCGCGCGGAACAAAGAGGAGCAATGCCTCCTTTTTTCTTCTTCTTCTTCTTCTTCTTCTTCTTCTGCTTCTTCTTCTTCGTTCCTCCGCCGCGTCCTAAGCGAGTATTGTACCTGGCGGCGCATTAAACACGTGGGAGTATTTGCGCCGCCGCGCGGATATCTCCAGTGGGTTACAGGAAGTGAGATTCGAGCGCTTTACGATTTCACTATTGGACACTTGAAACGCTCGGATGTAACGAGACGCGCTTACACGTACGAGCCAACCGCCCACGCGGATCGAGCTTGGCTCGGCTCTAAACAGAGCTGCGATCGTTCCGCGTGAAACGGTGGATTTCACTGATTAGCGGCCGCTCGCAAAAACGAGGCTCTTCTTTCGCGCAATGTGGGAACGGGGAACGTTCGCCTTAACCCTTTGCACTCGGAATTTCTTTTGCGTTTTGTCCTTGTCGCTCTGCGTTATTACGATATCTCATTTGGAAAGCGTTTGAAGGAATAGTTCGTAGAGAGCAGTGCGATTCTTCTTAATGATATTGAAAATAATATAATCTGTTCGAAGAATACCTTGACAAAGAAGCACACCTGTAAATGAAACCGATGTCGAGTCACGCTCGACACAGGAGCGCAAAGGGTTGACGCGGATCAATTTGAACCGTGAACAAAATACATGTTTGAAAAACAACGTAACTAACGACAGAATCGTACAGAATGATCTTATAAATGAGACTACGAGATGTACGGATAAGTCAGTAGAAAATGACATTCGACCGCAGAGGGTTAAATCATTGAGTTACAGACTGGCAACTGGAGATTTTAAGCAGCGAAGTTGATTGTCGATAATTTAATATTTAATACCGATGCCAGTCCGGTGTTTTGAAACTCATCGAGCGACCGCTGTAGATTTCTTTACGAGTTCCACGGGAATAGAACCTTCTCTTCCCGTCGCGATCGGAGATTTCGGAGATCTCGAGTATCGTGGAGCAAGAGAAGGGATCTTTCGCCGTGAAATTTGTACTTTTGTCGTCGAGAGACTATGCCGGGTCGGATCAAGAGGAGGCTTTTTTATTTTCAACGCCTATTTTCGTTTCAGACACGCCTCTGTCACCGATGGGGCCGTCGTCGCCGAGTCAGGAGGGTCTATTCACGGATCCTCGATTTTTGTCCTTGGAGAAGCAGCTCAATATCGAACTCAAGGTAGACGTCGTTTATTAAGAAAAAGAACGAACGGGAAAAAACGAGGGAAGAACAAGCGGCGAGAGAGAACAGTTCGGCGTCCGGATCCGTTGCTCCAGAGGCCGATCTTTCGTTCGAATATTATTCGCGTCTCGCGACCGCGGTGAATCTCGATCGTCGTCGAACCGGGATCGTTCCGCGAAACCCTCGCGCTCGGCTCGCGGAAATTACAACCTTCCGCCTGTCCTGTTATGTCATTCTTTCGAGAGTAGTCATTAGACTGGGAGTTTTGCGCGCGGAATGCCCGGTTGCGGAACGTCTTGTGTACAAACACGTAAAACGGCCCGCGATGGAACATCGGACAACGTTGCGAAATGTAATTAACGCGTTGACTGCCTTATTGCTCGTCGATCACTCGCGAATTTCTTGATACCGATTGGAATAAGAAGACTAACATCGAATAGAGGTGTTCGGCAACACGAGTAACTAGATGTTAGTGCAGATTAAGGTCTCTGATACCAAATCCTTAACCCGTTGCACTCTGAACTTGAAGAATCGGGTAAATTCTTGACTCTATTGACGTTGAAACTGTCGAGCAGTTCAATTGACTTTCCGAAACTTCTCTATAGAAACCGTAAGAGCGTGTCTATCGAGCGTTCAATGGATTCACGAGTTAATCTCTCGTTACAGAGAAAAACGGGAACAATAATCAATTAGCGTTGCAATCCTTGTATTACTCTATTATCAACTTGGCCGCGTTATTAAACATTTCCATCGGTTAACTCGCATGTTACGATTAACGATAGTTAAATACGAAACAATGAACAGAACCATTTCATTTGAATATTCCACGTTCATTAGCATTATCAGGAAATCGCCTGGCAAGTGCGAACGCTTGATAATTACTCGCGACTCCTAATATTACACAAAACGGTGAGAATCCTCGTGGCAGTCGACGCGCGTTAACCTTTCGCACCGTTTCCCCTGCGACGAAACTTTCCAGGAACGAAATCGGTTTCGATTCCGATGAATCGCTGAAAGAGAGATCGCGCTCGGAAGATCCACGGTCTACTAATTACGCGGACTCGTCGGCGAATAAAAGTGGAAGGTCGGTTATTATTTCGCGCGTCCGCCTTTGTACGCGTGTGTCGTAATGACGCGTGTAACGACGAGCGCCGCGTAACAATCCGTCCGCAATCCGCGAGCGATTAAACGGGGAGACAGTAACAGCTCCGCTCGGTTCTCGTGAGTCAGCAGCGTGAATCGAGTCAGCGTTTCTTCATATATTTTTTTTTTCCACTAAAGATAGCCTCCACACATCGTCGCACGGTGATTTAAACTAATCGGTGTACGCGACGAGCTTTGAACTTGCCTTTGTGGGCTCGTTCGCGCGATCAATCCGCCGGAATTGAATTCAATGAGAATATTATTCTTCCCTCGCCGCCTCTCTTTCTCCTTTCTTCCCGTTCTTTCGCCGCGGACCGCGGTGCCGTCGGTATTTATATATTCGCGCCGCTCCGCGGAATCCGGCGTTCGGACGTACGTCATTGGAAAACGCCGGAATCGACGGTCGACGTACCTCCGGAGATATTTCCGAAATTTCGCGAATAATCCGGAGATCGCAACGATAAATCGACGAAACGCGAACGCGAACGTTCGACAGCATCGTCGCTGTTCGAAGTCGTTCTTTGATCTTTAAAGTGGTCGCGTCCTCGAGCAAATCGAATTAGAGGCGATGTCGACTGTACAAACGCGAGGAGTATTAATTAGAAGTGAAAACGCGAGGAGAGAAGCGGCACCGCGTCATCTATGGAGATCTAATTATAGATTTTTCGTAGCCGCGATGTCACGCCGCGGACCGTCAAGTCGCTCATTAATTTCCGCGCGATTAACGCTCGACGGCGCGCGCCGCAAAAAGCGGTAAACACTCGTAGCGTAGGTAGCGCGACATTTCTGCGAATGTCAATTCTGTTGACAAAAAGGCCCGTGACGTAAACAGGGTCGTTACGCGGCGAAACCGATCGCAATCGGGTCGAACAATAGTCGTGAACGTTCCCTTCAGTCGTAATCGAGGATCCACGATTCCCGCGTGATCGATCAGCCTCGAACTGTATCGATCTCGGCGTCTCCCCAATCCGCGAGTGTTGTCAACGGATCCTAAATCCCCAGCCGTGATCCAGCGAAATCGTATCTTTGCGTCACATTACGCGATTCGTTTCAGGGCGTAATAGGTTTAGCTATCGAGCTGGTGAATACCTACAATGTTTAGGAAGCGCGTAGTCCGGTGTCGGTCGTCGCGAGGGGAGCAACGAGAATGCCGAAATTTTCTTGGAAAAAGGTAAATCATCGTCGCCGCGGAACGACCTGTTAATAACCTTCGCGAGTGTCGGAACAATCGATTCGATGTCTAGTAATCTGTTAACTCTTCGGCTGCAGAGTTTCGCACGGATTTTTAAAGAAGTGTATCGAAACCATGGAAACACTGAATTTAACTGAAAATTGACACTAGAGCTATCAAACGAATCGAAACGACTCATTGATTCCTACATTTTTCAGTTATTAAAAAGAGGCGTTTCTCTGGGAAATGATTGAAACCATCGATTCAGCGATACGCCAACTGAATTATAAATCGATTGAAGTCTCGATAGAGGCGTTCTTCAAGTTTCTATAGAGGGATTTCGAAGTCAGTTTAATTGTTCGGTAGTTTTAGTGTTAATCTGAAATGATCACGTTTACATAATGTACGGCTAACGGTAGATGTAACCGTTGAATTATGATTCATTTACGCCGGATGTAAGCTTTCCTGCAATTATTGTCGATAACATTTGACGCGCGTGACAAGTACGTCGAGAGCAAATATTTGAAGCGCCAACGGTAGCCGAAGGGTTAACAGAGGACATCTAACGGAGGCCGCGGAAGAACTTGGTGCACGAAAAGTGAGATTTGTGATCGCGCGATTCGATATGCTTGCGATTTTTGAGTAGAAGACGTTCGAGGATCGGTGGTCTAAGGAGATCTCGGTCTACGGACACGCGATATCCGACCGTGTGATTCAATGTCCTGGGAATCGATCAGCTAATACATTTTCCCGTTGGTGTTGAAGGTGAAGCAGGGGGCGGAGAACATGATCCAGAGTTTAACGAGCGGCAGGGACAAGAAGTTGCTGCAGGAGGCACAGCAAATGCTGGACGATTCCCGCGCGAAAATCGAGTTCCTACGTATGCGGATAATGAAGGTGCGTCAGGCGCGTCAGCAACAAGAACGCGGCGATGCGCCGCCGCCGAACGGCGAAGCGACCAGCAATAAAGGTACGAAATCTTTCTTGTTCCCGACTCGATTCAGGGTACATTCGCTTGTATCGATTGGCTGTTGGTTAATAGACTAAGCGCCGTTCATTAGTGTACCACGATCAAGTTTCTAATCAGTACATTAGCATCGGATCTTATCTACGAGTCTTATACTATCTCGTAAAAATAGAATGCTCATGTTTAAGGCTTTAACCCTTCGCAGTCGGGAAGTGATTCTCAGTCGGCGCTTGACTTGTACTTACCAAAATTATCAAATTGTCGAAATGTCGAAATTATTAACGTCATTTTTGTACCGTTCTCTTATTAGTCAGTTTCAAAAAGTATCGTCTATATCTCATCGAGAAATTTTGAATATTCCTGAAGGGAAATCTAGTCTTTATTTAAACCTATCTTTGTAACTTTGCCAACCGCCACATTATTTAAAGAAACACTAAATTTCATTACAACTGATTACTCGTTTACTACCTACGATAAATTAACAATATATCGGAGTACCTCGCGTACAGTGACATATCACAAACTTACAAGTTGATCCGAAAGAACGGCCAGTTTCGTAGGAATTAACTGGTGCGCGATCCGTTAAAAAGTATAATCGCGAACGAAACGGCAAATGTGTCGACGGCAGAAGAGAAAGGTGGAAAAGAGGAAACTCGAGTCCGCCGCGGAGCAAAACACGGCCGTTCCAGAAGTTGTAGAAACTTCGTACAGAATGAACAAGCAGTTAGTCACACGCAGCACGTAATTACTCGCAATTAAAATCCTCCCCGCCTTCCGTCTGCCGCGACGGGTCGATATTTCCTTCCGATACGCCGTGATTCATACCGCAACACGCTCCGGCTGCGGCCGGTGGCTGCTGAAATATATTCCAGGGACTGTCCATGAAATGTGATAGTAATTCGGTGGAAGTTACGAAGGACGCTCGTAGAATGGTGGCTCTCCGCTCCGGCCGGCGAGGATTTTTCCGTCCGCGGCATTGTAACTCCTTCCCCGCGAATAATTTCCAGTTAACGAGGCCGGTTCAACGTTATTGGCCCGATAAAGGGAGCTCAACTAATTACATTGTACCGCGGGTCCTCCGCCGGTCAGGATATTTATCGCGCCGCGGCCGTCATCGTTCCCGGGCGCCGATGTTAATAAGGAGAGGAGCAGCTCTCGGGATCTCCTCCCGTCGTTCGATATTTTATTCGCGGCCTCGAAATGATTCTCGTAAACTAACTGGCAGTTTTCAATATATTATCGAGCCTTAAACGCGATTTTCACTCGGACCCGCGCGTTACTTTACATCGACGCCGTCTCGTAAGCTGCGGGATCTTCTCGAGGACTGCTGCCCCTCGTATTCCCTTCGAGGATATGAGATATCGATGTTTTCGCTTCTGAAACTCGGTCTCCAGCAGCTTTCGACGCGAGATCGAACGAGGGAGAATTAATTAGTCTGTTCTCGAGTTTCTCGGTTTTAATCGTAACGTTCTCGATCGAAGGGACTGCTACAGCGACGGTTTCCACCGCGGCAATCTCTGTAGATTCGATATAAATTTCAGCGAATCGGATCGCAGTCGCTTCGGCTCGATTAACGCGAATTAATCGCGCACTTTGCAAACCGATTGCAGGTATCCCGGATTTTTCTATGCTAATTTCGAGATACTCGCGTCAGATAGGAGTTCATTCGAATCGTTAACAATTGCGCGAGGGGAATCAACGATCAACAACCATCAGTCGTGTTTTACAAGCGTACACGCTCCGTTTATCGATCGCGAACCATGTATTTCGGAATTTCAGCGTTATCCTTCTGGCTCGATCCGGTTCATCCGCGAGGTATTCGAAAATAGTCGAATGCGCGTCGAGCTGATTCGGACACCTGCAGCGTCGCGTGACGTGAAATCAATCTGGCTTTCGGTCTCTGCATCGACGGATCGCCAGTTGTTTTCCAGTGCTTCGCTATTCGTAGACAAATCCTCTCTACACGCTTTCGATCTGTCTTTACGAGGGCGGACTCGGACGATCTAGAAATCCGTACTGTGTCAACCTGTATTTTGTATGTATCAGTGTTACAAAGCATCGAAAACAAAGAAACAATATCGAAATACCTAAAAATGACAATATGCGTTGATACATTACACAAAGTTTAACCCTTTGCACTCGAAAAAAGTTTTTATTTGAAAAATCAATACAGTTGATAAGCAGAGTACGCGTTAACGAATAATAGTTTACAGCAGAAAGGAACGATTCTCTATGGTTCCAGATAAATACGAGCCGAGTTTGGAGCTCGCGCTGGAGGAAAGGGTGGAGGAGCTCCGGCACCGCTTGCGGATCGAAGCCGCGGTCGTGGAGGGAGCGAAGAACGTGATACGTCTGCTGCAGAGTGCCAAAGTCGCTGATAAGAAGGCGTTAACGGAGGTACGTATCATTTCCTGTTCAATGCGCGTGACGACGTAGGACGCGAGCGTTGACGTTCCGATAATGAAAAGCTTTTGTGCGGCCCGCGGCACAGATACGCCGCCGTCAAAAGGGAGCTATCGCCGCGTTATTAACGGGCCCGCTCGCGATATTATTGAACAATGCACGACACTCGCGACGGTGTCTTTCACGCGGGGAAATTCCCCGTCCGACGTTTTCTATTTATGAAATCTCGTCGGGAGATCGAGGCCTTCGTAACGCGCGATTCGCTTCGGTCTCGAAAAACGGGTTCCTTTTACGACGGCCACCGTCCATCACGCCGGTTTAACAAGTTACAAACAGTGAGGAGTGGTGATTACGGAATATTGCATTGAAATGATCGCCGATCGGCACCGGCCACCTCGTCCCGGTAAGTATCATAACACATTGCGCCTTGTTTGTACCCCGCCACGTCGCGCTTCGAATCGATTCAACTTCCCGGCAGCTTCTCAAGAAACACGATACCCTAATAGATTTTTCATCGCCGAAACTTCCCTCGTTAACCGCTTCAAGTGTCGTCCTAACGACTACATTGGTTGCAGAGTTATGTAAGCGATGGCTGATTAATATATAATTCTCGCTTTCTAGTATTCGGTAGTTCCGTGTCTAATTCGGTTCTCTGGGAAAGATTCTTAACCCCGGATTTAACGAGCAAAATGCTATTGTACTATTTGTAAGATACATCCATGGAGATGTCAGTTTCTTATTCTCCGTGTACACCTAGATACTTAATAATCTCCGAGAAATTCAATAATCATAAAAGAGACCCGACATGTTCAGTCGAAGGAAACATGCTTGTAATCAGGCATTTCGGGTCACGATTCCTACGGTCGAAGCCACGCTTCGATCTCTCGGAGAACGGTGCTGCGCGTCTGCGTCGCCGAAGAGAAGACCCCTGGAAGAAATACGAGTCCGACCGGCCATTCCCGATAGCGACTCGCTGTTCGTCGATACTGCTACGCGTAACCAGTGAAAATGGTAAACAAAACACAGAAGATTCCTGTTGCTGTTCTGTCCGGGGCTCTTCCGAGCAACGCGGAGAGCAGTCGTCTACGAGGCTCGGCTCGTGCTCGGCCGGCGTACTCACGCACCGCTCCCGAAATAGCGCCGCCTAATCCCCGCTACCCCGTCGCCTTCTATGACGCCTTTTCGGGTCGGGCTTAGCTGCCACCTCTCGAGGGGAGCTGGCGCAACCCAGTCGCAGGGAACGCGATAAACCAACGACATGTGCGCCAATCATCCGCGGACCGAGATCAGGGGAAACGCGTGTGCCGGACAGGAGGACATGCCTGGAGACGGATAAATCGCGTTCACCGCGCGGACAAATCACGCGTCGCCGGAACTATGACCTGATTCCTCGAGAA